GCTTCACATATACTAAATTTGGTATCACGTGACGTGAATGGATTGCGAAGGTAAATGACACATGCAAACACAATAATCATGACACAGAAGGCTTTTACGGCATCATTTATCTCCACCTCGCAACGTTGCGCTGATATTAAAGTGACATATCCAACTTCCTCATTCGTGCTTCGCATATCGTCGATTCCCACATGTACATGGGATCTGCAATGCTTTCAATCATAGCGTCGTACTATCAAATGCGGTGTGTAATAAGCGTTATTGTGGTCAGCGTTTCATCTTCTGAAATGCCTCAGCCCGACCAGACGGGGTATCGTCAAACCATGTACCTAAGCGTAATAAACACGTATACCTTTAGATACGTATACCTTTAGGTATACGTATCTGTACATTTTTTAATAATGTGACGGAGTGCCTAACACTTACGTATTCATTTTGCACCTAATATATGAACGCAGCCTTTTGACAAAGATGGGTGGCGTTGAGCATGCGATTTTACACTGGGTGGCTGAAGCATTGGGCAGCCAGCAACTGACAGACAGATGAAAATGGTTGCGCTGAAAGATACCAAGAAAGACTATCGTCTGCAATAATTTTTCTCCCTGGTGTTTCATGTGGTCCAAAATTACGATGTCATTATGAGGGATGGTGTGGTGGAGGGCTAAAAAATTTCGACCACTCGGTGTTTTTTAGTGCACCGACATCCCACAGTTCATTGGCCTCTATCATTCTGCCTGCCTTCAAATGTGACAGCTGCGGCGGAAATCAAACTCTGTGACCTTCGTGTCAATAGCCGAGCACGATAACTTATGCTGTGCCACGATGGACGAGGATACTATAATACCACGAGGACACTATAATGAGGTTTCAATGAAGCCTTGGCTGTTTCATTTATGTAAAACTTTTTTTGTGAAAGATTACAATTTTCCTTAACAATGCAAACATGTGGCTAAAAAGCTACGACAAATTTAGTTATAATGCACACATAATCTGTTTCAAAAAGGTCGATATTTGATGTTCTTAGTTCTATTATTCCAAAATCCCTGCCTGTTTAAATGTATGCTTCTAGCAGATGCGACAACTGGAGCAGAGTGTCCGATTTTCTATAACATAGGGTTCATCGTGGAATAATAACCAAACAATTTACCGCATAGTTCCGAACGCGGTAAACATATTATTTGGTATGTTCAGTCGCGTAGGCAAAATTTTCAATCCCAACGTAGCGTTTATTAGTGAGAACTGAGCTGATCGCGCTGATGTTTTCTGTGTCATTAAAATGAGTAGCTGCAGTTAACTTTCTGGTTTATCGGCACCACAGCTTAAAATAGCTTTGAGTATGTAAGTACAGTTATACTTGAGACAACAAAAAATTAGTACAGAGTATTCTGCTCATTCAGACTCGTTTTAAAAACCGTTTTCCTCAGTCATCTGCATCTGTGCAACAAACTAGTCTATATCGTCGTGTAAACATTGAAGAAAGCATAAAAGTAGGTCGGCAGGATGCTACCACCTTGTTAATATATGCTACTCGCTGTTTTCCTTGAGATACCCCTTAAACTAAAAAATGAGGCAACCATATTTTCAGGCACTCGGTGTGCGACATGTTTGAAGCCGTCACACGCATAGCTGTAAAGAACAATGTTATGTAAACAGTTCAGTTTTACATGTTTTAGCAATCTATGAAACAGAAGAAGAAAAAAAGCAGCATTTACATGATGGAGCTCCAAGGCACTGCAGACATCTTACTAGTTACCGTCATACCAGAGGTATAGCATCTGAGTTTATGTAATTAAACGGTGAGCTAAGAGCAGTTTATCGCTAGACTCAATTAAAGGGATGAGCTCTAAACACTTCTGTCACGCGACGCAATTATGAGCTAGCTGCAACGCATGGGTTTCGAAAGACGCCCTTACCGTCAGCCCTCTCGCTTTATTAATTTCAATGTCAAACACTCTCTAGCCAAGAACTACGACTGTGGATGAAAACGCTGCACCAAGGTAATTTGGCTTTTTGACCCTTTCAAACTAGTGGACATAATTGCTCAAGGTACCCCTTCTGAGAGGGAGGGAAAAAGAGGAAGGGGCGAAGGTTCTTTGCTTCTCCCCCTCACATATTAGGTCAATGTATGGGGCAGGCTTTGTCCCCCCCCCCCATCTTAGTGCTTGCGGGTAGAACCTACGCACTACCACCTGTACGTACACATGTGATGATAATTCGCCTGATGAAGCCCCCGCAACAAAACCAATCGAGCCTTCTTTGTCGCTTTTGCAACATATCCTGCAGAAATCAAACTTTTAAAAGGAGGTTGTACGGTATTCAAAAAGTTTTATACGCATAGCTTATAAAGCGCGAGGCAATGAATGTTCAATTTAAAAAAGTAATTTATTGTTATGACAAAGACATATATCCTCTATCATGAGCAAGTATTGTTGCATGCCCATTGCCAACCTCTTGAATCATGCATATGCAGGGTTCAAGAAGTTGGCAATCGCCATATAGCAATGTTTGCTCATAGGCATGCGCGTATGCGTCGGAGGAAGAGAAGAAATGTCTGTCACTATTCTAGAAGTAGCCTACTAAATATTCATGTATTTTGAATAAGTCTAAGTCACTCAAAACTTTTATTATTTCTTTTCTTGTTCTTCTTTGTTTTTGTTTTTCAAATTTTCAATCTAATTTAAAAACAAGGTAATACTCTTCCCTTTTCATTCTGCATAGTCCTGAATTGCTCGCTTACATTAAACGCCGACTTCTTGGCCAATCCTCCCTATGTGTAAGAGCCACATCAAGAGAACGAGCAAGCAAACAACCAAGCAAGCAAGCCATAGGTACACGGCTGCGCTGCCGGATATCAAATCATAATTTCTACAAACACATGTCGGCCGAAGCACCTCTGCCGCTGTGCGCATTTTGTGGTAAACTATAAATAATTGATGATTTTTTGACCTGCAGGTAAACTAATACAGTACGAAAAATACTTTTAGGAATACCTTCACATGGTATTCGAATGGATCTGTGGCTTGTATTTTGATCTTTTCAATTCTTTATTTCCGAGCTATTCAGTGCCTAAGTACGCTTGGCTCTCAGGGACTATATTAATGAAACCAATCGTTTGACTAACTAAGCAGTATTATTATCTTGATGTGGCTGCACCATTCAATAAGCACGAAAAATAAGAGGATTGCTTCATATTGTAACGAGTAATTTCTTTGATAATCTATTTACAAAGCACAGAAATCAACGAGCAAGATGGCGCCAGTCCAGCATCAATCGAAAACTCACTTCGTCCTCCTCTTTCATGCAGCCGTGTTTAGCGGCTGTTATGTATCACAACCCGTGGCGGTAGAAGCACCGTCTCGGTGCTAAATCTACGCAGATGATGTCGAAGGAGGGTAATAGGGCTTTAGCCGAGCCACGTGAACGACGTCGCTCTGAGCTGACGATGACTTTGTTGGATAGGTTGGGACAATATCGTATGGGATGTCTGTCGCTTGGCAAACGATACGGAATGGTCCAGTGTAGGGCAACAATAGTTTCTCAAGACAGTCCCACACGCCGAGTGGGTGAACAGAGAAGCACAGAGAAAACCCGGGGAAAAGTGCACGTCGCTATGGTGAGAATCGTAGAGCTGTCGTTCGGTGCGCCTGTGAGTCCTTGTAGACGGTTACGGGCGACTTGGCGCGCGTGGTCGGCGCGGGCGATAGCTTTCCCGGCATATTCAGTGGCTGCACGTAGCAAAGTGTCTAAGGGTAGAGTTGGGTCCCGGCCATACAGGAGATAGAAGGGCGAATTAGACGGCAGTGTTGTGACGGGATGAATTGCAGGCGAACGTCACATACGGCAAATGATGTCCAAATCCTGGTGGTCCTGGCGCAACGTATTTTGCAAGCATATCGATTTAGGTCCTGTTGAGGCGCTCCGTGAGGCCATTTGACTGCGGATGGTACGAAGTAAGTAAACTTGTGCTTCGGTATGGCAAGACCTCACGATTTCGTGAACAACAGCTGTAAGAATCGTGCGGCCACTGTCGGTGAGAAGTTGGCAGGAAGCACCGTGCATTAATATGTCGTACAGCAGAAAGTCCGCAACGTCAGTAGCGCAACTGGTCGGGAGTCCTCGTGTGATTGCATACCACGTCACGTAGTCTGTGACACCAGCAATCCATTTATTTCCGGCAGTGGAGAGTGGAAGAGGGCCCAACAGGTCGAGACCAACTTGAAAGAAAGTTTCAGTGGGAATGTCGATCGGCTGAAGGTAGCCGGCTGGGAGGGCAGATGGCGTTTTGCGACGCTGGCAGGGCTCACAAGTGGAGACATAGCGTCGAACAGAGTGGGTAAGTCCAGGCCAAAAAAACCGATGTCGTACCCGATCGTATGTGCGAGAAACGCCCAAATGGCCCCTCATGGGAGCGTCATGAAGTTGCTGCAGGACAGTGGAATGCAGGTGCTGCTGGGATGACAGAAAGTAAGTCAGATCCGAAGGAATCAAGGCTACGGCGGTATAGGATCCAGTCTTTCAGCCGAAACATTCGTAGGGACGAGTCGCGAGACACTGACTCCAGTTTGGCAATGATGGCTCGTAAAGAAGCATCCCGACGCTGCCCTTCGCCAATGTTCAGCAGCTGTGATCCGGATAGAACGTCTGCGATAGCGTTAGCATAGGTTGCTTCGTCCACAGGGTAGCGGGATAAACAATCCGCATCCTGATGTAATCACCCTATTCTAAGCATTACAGAGAACGGGTATTGTTAAGGCGTCGGGCCCAACGAGCCAGACGTCCTGTGGGGTTCTTCAGAAAGGCTATCCAGCAGAGCATGTGATGATTCATTTCAAGACGAAATAAGCGCCCGTACACGTATGGAAGAAACTTGGCGGCGGCCCATACAAGGGCGAGGTACTCGCGCTCCATCATGGAATAGTTGCGCTCGGCTGGAGATAGCAATCGACTTGCGTAGGCAAACATGTGGTAAACTATAAATGATTGATAATGTTTTGACCTACACGGTCGTGTCCCCGTTGGTGCTGCAATAACACAGCTCCAAAGCCGTGTCCACTGACGTCCGTGGTGGCCTCGGTTGGGGCTGATGGATCATTGTGAGCCAAGAATGGTGCCGTTTTGAGCAGGGTCGTAAGTTGAGAAAACGATGACGCTTGGTCATAGCCCCAGATAAAAGAGGCGTCTTTCTTGAAGAGGCCTGTGAGGGGGCGTGCAATGGTCGCAAAGTCCTTAACAAAGCTTCTGAAATAGGAGCAAAACTCCACAAGACTGCCGACATGCTTTGTGGGCCTCGGAGCGGGAAAGCTTGTGCTGCGCGAATTTTCTCTAGATCTGGACTCATGCCTTCGGCATCGACAAGGTGACCGAGCACGGAAATTCGACGACGAGCGAAGTGGCACTTGAAGAAGTTAGGGTAGAGTCTGGCTCGAACAAAAACGTCCAGAATAGCTGATAAACGATCGAGATGTGAGTCGAATGTGGGTGAAAAGACAATAACATAGTCAAGGTAACACAAGGAGGTGGACCATTTCAAGCATTGGAGCAATGAGTCCATCATTCTTTCAAATGTGGCTGGCATATTGCAGAGACCAAAGGGCATCACCTTAAACTGATAAAGACCATCAGGAGTGATGAATGCGGTCTTCTCGCAGTCCATCTCGTCGACGGCTATCTGCCCGTAGCCTGACCGAAGGTCAATAGTTGAAAAATAAGTAGCACCGTACAGGCAGTCGAGCGCATCGTCGATGCGAGGCAAAGGATAAATGTCTTTTTATTTTGTAATTTTATTGATGTGACGATAATCGACAGAAAAGTGCCATGTTCTATCCTTCTTTTTAACAAGGACGACTGGAGAAGCCCAGGGGCTGCATGAAGGCTCGGTAATGTTTTTTGAAAGCATTTTCCCGACTTCCTGTTGTATAATTGCACGCTCCGATGAAGAAACACAGTACGGGCGTCGGTGAATGGGAGTCGCATGGCCAATATTGATGCGATGGCTGACAATGGTCGTTCGGCTTAAAGAGTTGCGGGCAGAGTCAAAAATGCTATGATAGCCCTCAACAACGCAGCAGAGCCCTGCAGCTTGCTCACACGTGAGGTCCAATGACACCATTGTCTCTATGTCGGCGCCCCAAGAAGGTGATAGAGCGGAACCGCTGACTGAGCTGCAGCCATTGTTCACTCTGAAGGGCTCGACATGGTCGTCTTGGAGAGCGGTAATTTTGGCCAGGGAGATTCTCACTCACCTCCCAAGTTCTACCACACGGTAGAACTTGGGAACTTGGGAACCTGGGCATTGTACCACAGGAAGAATTTGCCCAGTGGAAGAAAGGCGCGGTTTCTCGTAATCGTCAGAATCATATGCTGGCGCAGCAACCACATGCGAAAGCATCACGGCAGGAATCGGGGCCACCATGTAATCATCTTCAGGTACTGGCAGTGTGGAGAATAGGTCGACATGTGTGAGAGAGTTAGGTGGGAGGCGCGTAAAATGAAAGCAGCAGGGGCTGGTTTGTGGGGGGATCGTCGGGTCGGAAAAGAGAAATAAATCGAGATGGAGAGAGCCAGCTGAACAGTCTATGAGGGCACAGTGCGTGGCTAGAAATTTTGTACCAAGAATGAGTTCATTAGGGCATTGTTCGATAACGGTGAAAAGAACGATGGTGCTTCTCTCCCCAATAGAAACTCGCGCCGTGCACATGCCATGTATTGCGGCCATTCCTCCATCAGCGACTCGTAGAGCTCGGTTGAGGGTGGGCGTGACAACTTTTTTTAAGCCGGCGGCGAAGATTAGCACTCATAATGGACACATGCATGCGCGCCAGTATCTATCAATGCGCTAACACGAACATTGTCCAAAATAACGTCCAAAAGCTTCCGGTTCGTCGTTAACGTTAATAGAGAATTTCTTTCGAAGGTCGTTAACGCAGCTCCACCTAGATCCAGAAGCTGCATGTCTTAGTTTTCTAGTCGGAAATGGTGCGAAGAGGTCGGGGAGGCAGCACGGTGTTGTGGGGCGACCGGGACTGACGACGAGCAGGGGACGGTGACCGGTCCTAGCGAGGTCTGTTCAGAGGTGCTGCAGAAGCGGAAAATGTGGTCGGCATTGATGGAGAAAGTGATGGGGACGACTGGCGTCCAGAAGTGGCGTGAGACTGAGGTGCATAATGTGACGATGAAGCCTAGCGGTTGGGGCAGCCTCGAGCGGTATGACTAACGCGTCGACAGTTAAAACATATGGGCCTGTCATCAAGGGGACGCCATTCGGACTGATTGCGTTGGATTCGAGGAGCAGATGGGGGACGATAAGAAGGCTCAGCAGAGTATACGGCAGGAACAGGGTGTAGGCCGACATTCGATAGCTCTTGACGAACGACGGCTTGTATCAAAGAGATCGTGGTAGGCGAAGGTGCAGGCGTCGGTAATGGCGTGGCTACCGGTAGTGCTGCCTCGACCTCTCGACGAATGATGCGTGTGAGGTTGTCACATTGAAGGCGTGGTGGAAGGCGTGGTCACACGAAGAAGCGGCCGCTGTGTTCGGAAGGCGCAGATGCTTTGGGCAACGCGGCGGGCTTTAGCTTGTTCGAGACGTCGGCATTCTTTAAGAGGTTGTCGATGCTCGAGGCGCTCTTAAAAACCAGCAGGTTGAAAGCATCGCCAGCAATTCCTTTCGAGACGTGGTTATCCTTTTCGTCTTCGGACATGCACTGTGCACTGGTCGGCCTTGGAACAAAGGGCCAAGACGTCAAGAATGTAGGACACATATGATTCGGTAGAAGACTAGGCCCGTGTGGCAAGAGCCTTCTTCGCAGCGAGCTGACGACCAAATAAATCGCCAAATAGGTCGCGGATATTTTCTTTGAAGAGATCCCAGCTCGTTATGTCGGCTTCATGGCTTTCAAATTATGTTAGGGAAGTGCCGTCCAGGTAGAAAAGCACATTGGCGAGCATGAGCGTGAGATCTCAGTGGTGAGTAGCACTGACGCGCTCGTACCGGTTCAGCCAAGTGTCAAGATGGATCGTACCGTCACCGGAGAAAGTACCGCATACCAGAGGTGCGGGAGTGTGACGTAGGTGGTGGATTGGACTGATGAGAGCAGCGTAGAGGAAGTACCAGCAGTTGAAGCAGTCGAAGGGTCACCGATGTTGCGACCGCTGTGCGTCTCCATCAAGGTACGGGGGTTCGTCCATCTCTACCAATAATGTTACGAGTAACTTCTTTAATAATCTATTTACAACGCACAGAACTCGACGAGCAAGATGGCGCTAATCCAGCATAAATAAAAAAATCACTTCGTCCTCTTTCATGCAGCCACGTTTAGCGGCTGTTATGTATCAATATTACTACCTTTTACTTTAGAAAAAAAAAGGCAGAGAGTTTTTCTTATTTGTAACAGATACATATACTCCCCAAACAACACCATGCTCCCGTCCAAGATGAAAGACTTGCAAACGCCTTCAAAATGACATGTTAGTAAAAGCAACCAAAGTGACTAGGCCCATCATATAATATGCAGTTTTACCTTCACTCCTTAAAACGTCATGCACGTTTTCGAATGTTATTTTTGCCATAAACCGTACATTGGCGAAATTAGGATTACTCATATGTGGGGTTTAATGTTCCAAAACCACCATATGATTATGAGTGCAGTAACTATGAGTAGTGGAGGGCTTCGTAAATTTCAACCCACTGTGGTTCGTTAAAGTGCACCAAAATCTGAGCTCACGGGCCTGTACGGAGTTTTTACCTTCACAGAAAATGCAGCTGTCACAGTCGGTATTCAATACCACGACCTGCAGGTGAGCAGCCGAGTACGCTAGCCACTACATCACCGCGGCGGGCAATGGCAAAACAGGGCAACGTGTTAATATTAAAATAAATGGTCATCACGTGGACACAGAAAAAAAATTACCGAAACAGTGGCAGAGCATTTTTATGTCACAGAAGGGAACTTCACTGATATCAAACTCTACACATACTTCCATCAAACTTTTGGTTCGCAAAAGACAGAAAATATATAAAGTTGTAGCTTATTCACAAGTGCAATCTACGCCTGCCAGTAGGTATAAAGGTTTGTGAAGAGACACCGGAATACATTAGGTGTGGTACATACACAAAGAAAACCACTGCGAGGAAAGTCCTTTATCTCGGACTTTCAAACCTGCCATTGTGAACTTCTGACAACCGGTTCGTCCACTGGGACTCAGCGATACGGTTGCATCCTTACCTCCCTACCGCTTCCTTCTTTCTTTTTTTCACTGGAGTACCTATTCTTTTTTCACCCGTACAATTCGCACAGCACTCAACTTCTCCCGCTTTCTCAGACCCGCATATCCAGGTTGCCCCTCCCCTCATTTGTTAGGATGGAGGAGAGGGCCTAAAGCGTAGACACGCTTGAACTGAATAAATCAGTTTTGTTCTAGTCATGAGGAAGACGAGTCCGTTTGTCGAAACGTCGGCTAGACACAACCCCTGTCTACGAATCTTTCATCGCAAGCTTCTATCTTTCCCTTTCTACAATTTTTTGGCTTAACACAGGTATGGTGAAAGCTGGCCTAGAGAATCACTTTGCTTATGTTTTATTTATGTCTGGTTTAGTGGTAGCAGATATACTCAGGTGGTGCGGGCTAAACTGTGGGGTTGGGCTAGATGGTAATGCAGAGCAAGATTTTCCCGCTCTTCACGTTCATGCTTGTGGTTCCCGGCAATTGTTCCGGAATTCAATTTCTGTTGGTCAGCATAAAGATGAGTTCACTAGTTTTATCGTGGAAGCTGAGCTTATCGACACTCATGGCGATGTTTGTAAAGCAAGCCCTCAATCGCATTGTCACTCAAGGAGCTTGGTTACCTGCGTGCACGTTGATATTTGTTCTTCTGTGATGTTTTCTTTTTGGTAGATGATATTGTCGCACATATATCTGAGTAAACCCACATGCTTATCTGTCTGCTGGATGTTCCTGGCTTAGAAGTGCCCTGAGTTCAAAAATAAACTTGCTAATAGCGCTCTATTCTCTCCCTCTATCCTTTCCTGTTTGCGTGTTTCACCTTGCACTACGTAGCTTTCTTTCATACGTGATCAATCGGTTAGGTATGTCATGCAATCCTGTAATGCGTTGTGCACAAACGTGTGGGATTTGGTGGGGGGGGGGGGGTTATTGAATTCGCAACTATCTTGCACCTATGATTACAGTAACGCATATTGGCCCCTTATCTATGATGACAGCACCTATAATGACAAAACCAACAAAACGTGTTGAAGTGACCGCGAACAGTCCTGGTTTCTGAGCCGTGCTGATTGCAGTGCAAACAATGTGAAAATGACAGCCGTATGTGACGCTAATCTTTGATCAACTCTAGCTAATTTATTTGCACGCCTTTCTTCGACTGTGCATAAGGCTGGTATGCACTTATCTTATTTTTCACGTATGTGAAATGCATACCAGCCATACCAGATAAGAGAAGATTACCTGATCAAGGTCGCATATTTATGATCGGAGATTATTAAGAATAACAATTAACAGAGAAAATATCAGGAACTTCAGGCTATGCAATTTTTGGCAGGTTAATCATAAAAAATCTTAATTTTTAGGGGTGTTATAAGGCTTATGGTTCTTTTCTAAATACCAGAGCGGGGGTTATTACAAAGAGCGCCTTGTTCTGCCACAGTTGCAGAAGAACGGCTTGAAAATTTTAGCGCACCCCGAAAAGCACAATATAATGTGCTTTTCGGGCTGACATCACGCGAAATATCAAGTTTTTATGAAGAACGTTAGATTGTGCACGGGAGAGGGAAAGGTAGGAAAAGTAGGGAAAATAAATTTCTCATCCTGAGTTGATAATAACGACTAAACCATGGCTGCCGTTCAGCATGCTGGAGCTAATGTGACTCTTTATTCATGTTCGCATTATCTATAATGGCGGTGTATTGATGGACATCACGAAAGAACATCGGGTATCACAAAAACAGACGCTAAATATAGGTAAAACTTTTACATGCAATAGTTTTTACACAAGAAGTTATTATGAAGGAAAAACTTTACAACAGCAGAGGTTTACAGTATCGACTTAAGCACAAAACACTGTGCACATGCAGGCTACTTGGATCTAATCATGGGTAAAGAAAACCACTGGTAAGCAATACATCAGAAACAGTCTATTAGAACTGCAGTTCAACAAAACCGCTTGTTTGCATGATTAGTGTGAAAAAATGAACAATTCTGGCGCAGAACCTAACTAAAAAATTTATTGAAAGTACTCAGTCAGGGGAAAATATTGATTCTGCGCATAA